TAAATTCCAAATCCAGGGCCTGGGGATCCTCCGTCTCCGACAGCCGCGGCGAAGTACTAGTGTCGTGGATGGCGCAGCACAATCTCGCGCCACTCAACACGGGCTCTACGCACACCTGTGTGCGCATGCAGGGCGGGTCTATCGTAGATGTCACCCTTGCGAGTCCCGCCCTGGCATGTCGCGTGCAGGACTGGGAAGTGCTGACTGAGGTGGAGACTTTGTCGGACCATCGCTACATCCGGTTCGACATTCTCCCCTCGTCAGCACCTCCGACCAGTCGAAACATCGCCATTCCCCCGGAGATCGGTCAGATGTGGTCGTTGAGATCGTTGGATAGAGAGACAGCTGAACTCGCCGCCATAGTGGGGACGTGGTCATATAAAATGGAGGACAAAGGCGTCGACGACGGCGTGCAATGGCTTGGCGGAGTACTGGCGAACATCTCGGACTGCGCCATGTCCAAAGTTCGGCCGTCGCCGCGGCGACGCAATCGAGTATACTGGTGGTCGGACAACCTCTCACAGATGCGTTCTGCCTGTGTGCTTGCCCGCCGCCAGTATACCCGATACCGAAGAAGACGTCGAGGATGGGAGGAGTCGGAGGAACGGCGTCTTTACGCCGCTTATCAAGAAGCCAAAAAGGCCTTGCGGTGCGAAATCACCGTTTCCAAAGACCGGGCCTGGGAGGAGTTTCTGAGTTCCCTAGAGGTGGACCCATGGGGCCGGCCATACAAGCTCGTTATGAGTAAGTTGCGCCCCTGGGCTCCACCCCTCACTTCTACATTAGACCCGACACTAGTAACATCCATAGTGTCAATCCTCTTCCCTCCCAGTGCCCACAATACCGGACGTGACCTCCCCGACTCGATACCTCCCGGTTCTGTCCCGGGGGTATCCGAGTCGGAAATACTCTCGGCGAGGACAAAAGTGCAGAGCAAGCGCACCGCCCCAGGACCCGATGGGATTCACGGGAAGGTGCTTGCTCTGGCACTTCACCACGGACTGGATGAACAGCTGAGGACGCTACTTACCAAGTGCCTGGAAGAGGGAAATTTCCCTCAAAAGTGGAAAACGGGAAGACTGGTCCTGCTGAAGAAACCCGGGAAACCGGAGAACTCACCGGCAGCCTATCGCCCGATAGTGCTGCTCGACGAGGCCGGCAAGTTACTGGAGAGGGTAATTGCCGGTCGCGTCAGCGAACATCTTTCTTCAGCAGGGCCGGACTTGGCCGACACCCAGTACGGGTTCCGGCGGCACCGTTCCACAATTGATGCTATTTCCAAACTCCGATATATTTGTGAAGAGGCGAAATCCCAGGGCAGGGTAACGATCGCGGTGTCACTCGACATTGCCAACGCGTTTAATACCCTGCCCTGGGACAGTATAATGGCGGGACTCGAATATCATCATGTCCCCCTGT